GCTTCACACCATGATTACCAAAGGAGCAGGATTGCGGGGTCAAGGTTGACCAGGTCAGATGTTTGTTGTCCATGTCATTGTAGATTGTTTCCTTTTTACCAATGTGAATGTCAAATTATTAGTAGATACAATAAAAGATGATAGCCTGATATAAAATTGGTTACTGCATATTAATAAAAAAAGTCCAGAATGCTGGTCCAATAGCTGTGTAAAACATATATTACTAACACACTTCACTCATGAAGGTGCATCGTTCCACATGATTACAGTAGGCAGTATCACCATTACAAGGTCTAAGGAAGTACCAGCATAATCTTAAAGGCAAGTATCAAAATATTTTTTTGTCAGGAAGATGTGAAGCTTATGCATGAGATGGGTTTAAATGCTTACATATTCTCCATTGCTTGCCCAAAGCTGATTGCAGGTAGGTAAAATTACAATAGCAAGTTTTCCCTTTTTTACAAAAAAAAAAAACAATTCTACATCTGAATGTATGTATTTCTAAAAATTTGTGGTGTCCTTGTGTAGATGGAAGAGGAAAGATCAACCCAAAAGGCTTGGAATACTACAACAATCTCATAGATGAACTGATACTGCATGGTAAGGCGATGCAACTGTTACTTTGTCGTAAGATTGAAGTACTGACCCGTGACCCTAAGCATTATTGACTTGTTGTCATAGCTTCTTAATTTTTCTCTGAAAAAATCGACTTGTTGTCCTTTTATTCCTGAACAAACTGGCTCCATTCTTCATGTTATGTCTGTAGGGATTCAGCCTCATGCCACCATCTATCATTTCGATCTTCCTCAGGTCATTCAGAATGAATACGGTGGATTTCTCAGCCCCAGATTCATGTAAGTGCTGAGCGAGAAGCCTCCTTCGGCACCACAAAAAAGTGCACATATTTTGACCTAAAAGTTGCTTCTACCATGTTTTGCAGAGAAGAAATCCTCGCTTTTGTAGAAGTCTGTTTCAGGAACTTCGGGGACAGAGTAAAGCAATTCTGATGTCAATTAAAATTTCCTCTTTAGGAATGACGGTGCGGGTGCGGAACATCTCAGATCTGGCGACTGAGCAGGAGGTGCGTGAGTTCTTCTCCTTTTTCGGCCAAACCAAGCACGTCGAATCAGATTGTGAGCGCCTCTTGATTTCTTTCTCTATTTGTTCAACAGATAAGTGTCGCGGAAATGCGTATGTTGCGTTGGATTTGCGGTCATACAAGAAGGGATCGAGTTCGGAACGATGATATACGTGATAGATTAGGGGTAGCACCAATTGAAGAAAAGCTTATCCAACACCGATTGAGATGGTTTGGAGACCTCCAGAGGCACCGGTGCGTAGTGAAATCTTAAGCCAGAATAGTAACGTGAAGAGAGACAGAGGAAGACCGAAGTTGACTTAGGTAAAGGCAATAAAAGAAGACTTGAAAGGATGGAATATACCCAAAGACTTAGCTTTAGATAGGAGTGCTCGGAAAATAGCTATTCACGTGCCTGAACCTTGCTTCTGTTGAGTTTTAACTGTAGCCTACCCCAACTTGTTTGGGATTTAAAAGCTTTGTTGTTGTTGTTATTGTTGGTGGTGGTGGTTGTAAGCGATACAGTGGCATCGGGGAGGACTTCCTACGTCACATTCAAAGATCCCAAGGCTCTCGAGATTGCGATTCAGCTGTCAGTATGGATACAAATTATGATGGGCGATATCTAGCTGCTTCGCTGGGCTCAAACTCAGTTCCTTCAACAACAAGGAGGATCAAATTACCTATAACTGTAAGCAGATCATCTCCACCTGATGTGTCACCCAGATCATCAGGCACAAGAAATAGATGTAGTCATTACCGTTTCTTCCATAAATAAATAATTATGTACCTCTCCCCTGATTACTAAGCTTATATCAGAGAAAACATTCTGTAACTGTAAGTTAGTCCATACTAGAAGTGGAAGTAGTTGGTTTCTAAATACTTGTTGCAACATTTATGTTGGTTGCAAGAAGAGGGTAATATTAGCTCTTGTTTGAGAACACTGAAAGGGGACTGCTACTTGAAATTTGATGATGATGTTTCCAACCAACATTGACTTTTCAGTATCAGTGACATATTTTTTTAATGGAAGCATAAATTTCTCTTTATAGTTTATGTCACCAAAAATAATTATAAGTATTGTTTCCTGTAGCCCATGGTGTTCGCAAGCACATATAAACTGAATAACCATCAGTTTGTTGGTTTCCTTTGCAGGAGTTAAGGCTCGTAAACTGATTTTTTTGTGCAAAACTGGTGCATAAAAATAATCCCATTTGGCTGAAAAAAGTTAAAGCCTAAATTAATCGAGTAAGTTTTCTCTTGTACAGATTCTGTTTCAAACTAATGTCCAACAAATCTCTACTATGTTACAAGCTTTAAGACTGAAGGAATATTTATATTTTCATATATGGTTTTCTATGTTAAAGCCTAATCCTGTGTTCCAAGCTTTAAGACTGAAGGAATATTTATATTTTCATATATGGTTTTCTATGTTACAGGGGTAATGTAGATATAATATTGATCTCTCTTTGGAGTGCTTTCTTGCTGATTCAATTGTGGTGAAGATAATATTTACTGGTTTTTTATTTAAAATAAAAAAAGGGAGACTTGATTCTCATTTGACATATCCTGTCTAATTTTATCAAATGTTTCTTCCATGTCAAAGCTGCAGAAATCCTTTAACAAATATAATGAATTTTATATAAGATAAAATTGTATGTGAGTTACTGAATCAATATATATTCAGGTAGGGATTCAATCCCCCCGGTGATAGTTAAAAAAAAGTTACTGAATCAATCTTATATATGTCAGTTGACAAGGATCTTTACACAACATAAAACATGACTTTTTTTATGCCTCGTATTGCTGGTGTAAGCATTTCAATATGAAGATCTACATGTGCCAGTAGCTCTATCTAGAGGCTGATAATAAGCATGATCCAGATGATCTTCTCATTGTAGGTGCGCTATTGGCACGATAGTCATTGGCATTATACATGGACTAGATATGAAAGAAAATGCTACTGGCAAAATATATATGTGCTATGTTGCTAAACTCAGTTTTTGGTTGGTTGTTTGCAGGAAAATATGTTTTTGGGGCAAATGAAATATTCATGCATTACAGCAAGAGAGAAAGATCAAGAGCTGACTGCCCGACTCTTGTGAGATGAAATGAACTAGGGAATAGCTCTTGTTTTGTCCAAGCTCAAAATTGCAAGAAATGCTTATTATTCAAAGGAAAACATCAACTCATCATGTTCCATATGCAAATTATTATGTTTGTCAAGAAAAAAGATTATCGGTGACCACTTATTCATTTCGAAAACATGTTACTATTTATTTTCATGCTTCTTTTATTGCGTTTATTATTTTCTGCTCTCGTGTGACGTTATGTGATGGAATTTTATATATGTTCGTAGCAATACATGGGCAATCAACTAGCAAATCGTAAATTAGATGATTGAGGCGAGACATGACTTTATTATGCCTTGTTATGTATAGGTGTTTTCCAGATTATATATATATGGTCATATATAATTGCGTGAAAATTAAACTATGAAAAAATATCGTCGTTTGATTGTTTTATGTGTATCTCTAGAATGAAGCCGTGGTGTTAACACCGATACTATACTAGTGTATGGTATGGTACGAAAGTACTACATATGTACGTACCTGTCAATCGATTCTTTAATTCTAGCAGGGTTTATTCGTTTTTATTTAAATTTCAAAACCATTTCTGTTATCGATCGGTGTCAAATTTGTACATTGCCCAACTATATAAAGTAACACAGGACGACCATGACTTGGATCGCTTCCTCGAGGCAGGCAGTCAGGCCGTGTAGTAGGCGTACGTATAATCCCTTTTTGCCTGTTTGATGGAGTATGTATGCACGATTTAGGTCAGTACGTAACCTGTAACCAGGACGGACCAGGTCTAAGGCACGCACGCGGTTCACGATTTCTGCGTGCGTGCGTGACCATCTCTTACATTGGGTGGTGATTTGGACGGCGGGGTTAATCTAACTAACCGTGGCTGCAATATACGATGAGTGCAGTGCAATATGGTTCGGGTTTTAGGAAATCTCCATCGAGCACTACAGCAGGAAAACTAAACAAGTGGCTCATGGACGGGCATGGCGGGTTATAATTTCAAAAATTATTGTATCTGAGACGATGATCACCTAGCTTTATTGTTCAGTTTCTTTTGAATGATGTAACTATTCTTGATCAATAATAAAGCTTTACCGCTTTGTTTTGTGTAAAAAAAACCGCGTGCGTGCTTGATGCAAAGGGTCAATTAGGCCTGCCGTAGTGCCATGCCATGCATGTGCGAAACTGACAACCAAGAAATGGAAGCATGCATCAAAGGAAGCATGGCCTCCTCCCGTACGTACACTACCAACCATACACAAGAATGACAAGATGAGATGGAGATGGACACAATGCAAGCACGCAGCAGTCAGCAGACTCCCACTACTCCTAGGGAGGTAGCCAATGATCTGAACTGAAGCCGATGCGAATGCGATGCCCATGCCCACACTACTGCCTTGCTTTCTTTCGTTTACATCTGGGAGGGGAGATTTGGAGGGCGCAACAGGCGGCACAGGGCATTGCTCACTTTAGCAGCAGCAGGTTCAGACGGTCAGTGGTTGTCGTTGACGCACAACCTTTTTCAGGCCCATCTGGAGGAACTAACCCGCAGTTCCATCTTCACGGGCTGTGGATCCATTCCTCCTCAAATACAAAGAAGGCACAAAAAAAAAAGGGTATACGGGCCAATTTAGTAGAGGCTGCGAGAGTAGTATGGGCCAAGCCCACCAAGTCGACAATCCCATCCCACTAATAATCGCACTAAACCCACTCACCCGTCGAGTCGTTAACGCTCTGTCCCCTTTGCCTTCCTTCCCTCGCACTCCCCTGCTCCTCCTCCTCCAGTCCTAGTCTAGATCTCCTCCGCGCGCGCGCAGATCCGCCACACCTCCATGGCGGATCTCGCCGCCGCTGCGGCGGCCCCTCCCCCGGCCACGGACCTCTTCGGGGAGCCGATCGAGGCGCACCCTCCCTGGTTCAAGCCCGACGCCTTCCTCCGCGCGGGCTTCGACCCGGACGCCTACGTCGCCGAGCTCCGCTCCTACGTCCCGCTCGAGAGCCTCGCCGCCGAGCTCCGCGCCCACCTCGCCGCGCTCCGCGCCGAGCTCGTCGGCCTCATCAACCGCGACTACGCCGACTTTGTCGGACTCAGCGCGCGCCTCAAGGGCGTCGACGCCGCCGCCGCAAGGATGCGCGCCCCGCTCGCCGACCTCAGGGACAAGGTCGCCGCCTTCCGCGCCGGCGCCTCCGCCGCGCTCGCCGCGCTACGGGCGGGACTCGAGCAGCGGGCCGCCGCCACCGCCGCGCGCGAGCTGCTGGAGCTCCTGCTCGACACCTCACACGTCGTCTCCAAGGTACACTTCACCTCTCCTGTCTCCTGTCTCCTGTCTCGCGCCTGCTCATAGTTTTATTACATATAATGCTAGTAATGTGGCTTATCCCGCCAATCCTTTCTTCTAGTTTCATTTATCGTTAGAGTTCGTTAATTTTGAAGACACAATTTAGCATCACATTTCCTGAGGACGAGCAATGCTCCATGCTAGGACACTGTCTTAGCCCTTAGCCCTTAGGGCTGCTGCATTTCTCGATGCATCATCGTTATTAGAGACCTTATGAATCTGACCACCTGCCTGCTTCCATTGTTGTCGGGGTGGAAGCTCTAAGCTATTCCTATTTAATAATTGCGTATTGATTTATTACCCTGAGTTTAGATTCATATATGTATCAAAAAGGAATATCATATGGAAGACTGTTTCACGACTTTGGATGGTAGTTTGGTAATCATGCAGGCAACATAACATTGTGTAGGAAATTTTTCCTAAGTGTAATGATGCAAAAATTCAAGAAGCTACTCTGATGGAGTGACGGGTCAACTGATATATTTGCTTAATTCAAGGCTTTTGTTAAAACGAGTTTATGATATACTCATGAGCTTATGTTCTCCGTATCATGTCATTGCTCCAAAATGTTTCTTTTCTTATCCAGGTTGAGAAATTGATCAAGGAACTACCAACTGCACCATCAGATTCATTGAATGCTGAAGTTCCTAACAATGACACTGGAACGCCAAATGGGGAGGCTGGGACAGGTGTCAGAGAAACACAGAGCATTCTCTTAGAAAGAATTGCCAGCGAGATGAACCGGCTTAAATTCTACATCAGTCATGCACAGGTTCGTGTCAGCGTATACTGTTGGCCTTGGGATCCTTTAACATGAAAGTATATTTTTTCTTTGCTTAAATTGCTGAGAAAAATTCTTGAGGAAAATGTGCTCAGTGCATGATGAATTTTGCTGTTTCACACTGTATGTTTAGTTTTATTGTATCATCACTGAAGTCACATACTCAGATCCCCAAACTAGTTTGTGGCTTTCGATTTGGATTAATACACTAAGGAAATATCTGACCAAGTTTTGTTCGATAATCTTATGCTGAACCACTAAGATGGCAGTTTCATACTTGTATAGGTTTCATTGTATTGCAAACCAGTGCATCATATACATATTATTTCAACTTATGTTTATGATTCTTATTGTGTTGCATTATGGCAGTACAGAACCTCCCTTTTATTGAGAACATGGAGAAGAGGGTCCAAGGTGCTACGAAACTGCTTGATGGTAGTTTGGAGTGCTGCTTTGTGGATGGTCTGGAACACCGTGATGCTAAAGTTATATACAACTGTTTGCGTGCTTATGCTGCAATTGACAATACATCATCAGCCGAAGAGCTTTTCCGTACAACAGTGGTGTCTCCATTGATTCAGAAAATAGTCCCTCAAAATTATGTGAGGGCTGTTGCTGGGGCATCATCTGATGAACTGGAAGATGATTATCGACATATAAAAGAATGTGTAGAAAAAGATTGCAAATTTATATTGGAAATATCTTCATCTGGTAACCATTGGCTCTACAAAAAATTCTATTATTACTTCATGAATTGGAGCATGCATGAATATAGACTCATCTTTCTGCATTATCTAAGATTCTTGATTTTCCTTTGGTGCAGAAAACTCTGGATTGCATGTTTTTGATTTTTTGGGTAATTCGATACTCAAAGAAGTCCTTTCTGCAATCCAGAAAGGCAAGCCTGGGGCCTTTTCTCCTGGAAAGCCTAAAGAATTCTTGAGGAACTACAAAGCAAGTTTAGGATTTCTTGATTTTCTTGAAGGTATTCTTATGTTGCAACTTGATTATTTTCTGCCAATAATGTTGAACCAGAACTGGATTCCACCGTATCTTTTGTTCATCCTTGTGTTTCACAAAAGATCCACAGTCCAATATATCTACATTTTTTAAAGGTTCATATGGGTATTTAGGGTCATGATGGATCTTTATTCCGCAGGTTACTGCCTCTCCAAGTCTGCTGTAATGAAGTTCCGCTCTGAGCCTGCTTACACAGATTTCATGCGGCAATGGAATGTTGGTGTCTACTTTTCATTGCGGTAAGAACAAACATGTATATCTATTATGTTATGAGGTGCTCTCCTGAAATCGAAACTTGACTTCTACCTGCTCATTTATACAAGATTTCAGGAAATTGCGGGTGGCCTTGATTCTACTCTTACAAACACCTTTAGTCCTACTGGATCGAATGAGGCTCAAGGGAAGCCATTGCTCTTGAAGCAAAGTATTAAGCTCTTAGAAAGTTTGGAGTCATGTTGGAGTGATGAGGTTCTTTTATTCTCGCACTGTGATAAATTCCTTCGTTTGTCCTTGCAGCTTATTTCAAGGTATAACTACTGCTAAAGATATTTTTCACCTTTTGTTTCCATGATTTATTAAACACTTATATATTGTGTATGTTCCTGTATGATAAGGTATACAACATGGCTTTCATCTGGTTTATCTGCACGTAAAGCTTCTGATGGGAGCCCAAATTCACCTGCAGATGCTGAATGGGCACTGTCTATACCTATAGAAGATTTCATATATGTAAGTCACATCTGTAGTAATGTCTGAACTCAGATCATATACCAATAGGATCTAGCGGTTTTCGTCCTGTACTATGGACCTAGCTGCTTATGACTGAAAGTTTGGGTATTATTTTCCTATTTATTAACATTCTATATTTCTCTATTAAGTGTATGCTTAGTTTGAAATTTCTGGAGTTTTGAAGTTAGTTATAAGATGACTAGTTGCTTCAGAAGTGCTCAGTAAGTCTGCAGGAAGTCACTGCTTCCACCTTTTGACTAGACAGACATGTTCTGGTGTTGGTTCAGTGGAAAAATAACTGCAGTTTGTACTTTGTAGCCCAATTTGTGGTAACTCTGAGGTAGTAAAAGCTCTTAGTAAGTCCCTGTTGTTTGTTTGGTTGCACGAGTGGAGGCAAGTCCATGTTACATAATCTTTGTGCACTTTTCCTGTTTCTGACTTCTAAGGCATAATTCTTGTTACACTCAAAATGTTATCCAGTGTTGAGCAATGGGGACATATAAGAGTATAGCTCGTTGATCTTCTCTCTCTTTTGAATCCTAATGTCTTTGTTCATTGATTTACAGATAATGCATGATGTGCATGCTGTAATTGGTGAGCTTTCAGAATCAGGCAGCTTTATTGGACATGTGAATCAGTTGCTAGGATCATGCCCCATTGAAGTACTTAACCTTGTGAAACAATGTATACTGCAAGCTGTCGAACCTTTAAAGGAGGTGTTACCTGCAATAATGAATGTCATGATTGGAATCATAGTTAAGAAGTCTAATGAGGTGAGTAGGACACCGTAAACTTGTGATGGTACTATATGCATGTTTTTAGTTATCCGCAGTTCATCACTTCTCCCTTGCAAACTAGATCACAAAAGGGTTTTGGGCTCTTGTTATTTTGCTAGTGAGGAGCCAATTTTACCTTCTATGCATAAGATACAGAACCAAATGGAAAAGATGCATATCTTACACTTAGGCATCAAATATTGCCTAGACTAATGTTGCACTTGTCAGCATTTTTTTTTCTTTCTAAATGAGAGTTTTAAACTATATTCCTCCTGTTCTTTAACTTGCCAACTATTTTTTAATTGATTGTAGGACCTGAAGCACCTGAAAGGAATAACAGCGACATATAGGATGACGAGTAAGCTTCCAGTGAGGCATTCTCCATATGTATCAGGAATTTTACATCCACTGAAGGTCAATGAACTTCCTGTTTTACCCTTGTTTTATGATTTTTATTCATCTAAATTCAAGCAAAGCAGCTGAACTAGCGCATGGATGTTCTATACTAGCATGCTTGCTAAAAAAATGATATAGTTGCAATTTAGGCCCTCAGGGCTTTCATTAACCCAAGGGAAGTGATGGGGCACATTTTAAATTTATTCTATGGTCAATGTAGTATTTTAGTCTTATTGTTGTTAAATGCATCATATTGCATGATTGTGATCTCCTTTATTTTTCATATTTCTATTTCAATGCCTATGATGATGTTAGAATCATTTGATATGCTTATTTCACTAAACAGTCTTTTATTCTGAGATTTCTGTTTGTTCGTGTAGGTGTTTCTTGAAGGGGAGCGTATACACTATCTATCAGAAGATGATAAAACTAAGTTGTGTCGAGGGTCTACAGATAAGATTACTGCAATTTACTATGACTTGGTTTCTGAAGTTGTCACTGTGGTGAGTAAGGATTGCCTAGCTGCTTATGAAGATTTGTTTTTGACCCACCAGTTACTTAGATCAATTTATTTCAATTCTGAAGGCAAGGAAAACCGAGTCTTCATTGCAAAGACTGCGCCAAGGTGCACAAAGGCGAGTAGGAGCTAGTACAGATGCCTCAGATAACATCATATCTGATACAGACAAGATCTGTATGCAGCTATTTCTTGATATTCAGGTTTGCTGTCTGGCCCTTGTGCTCATAAATGATACTGATGCTATGTGCCGGCCATAAGAAATTCTCTTTCTAGGTTCACTTTGCATCTAAATTAAACAATGTTCTCCTTTTGCATTTATTTGGCACCCAAGCTTTTATTAACAACCAGCTTGGTTTGACATCATATGTGACTATAGATAATCATAAAGTTACGGCACCTCTGACATGTTCTTTTGGTTGCATTATTTTGCAGGAGTATGCACGAAACCTTCGTGCGATAGGAATAGATGCGAGAGAAATTGATTCCTACAGAGCTCTATGGCAGTGTGTTGCCCCAAAAGACAAACAAGAGAACATTCAGTTTTGATGTAAAGAACGCTGTCAGTATATATATATAAAATTGTCACCCGTAGATCTCTCAACATGTAGGTGTATCTGATGTTGTCCTTTTGGTTTGAAGTACTTATGAGTTATGATGCATACATAGATAGAGAACTGAATTTTGATATCGTCGCCGTTCCATTTTATTATTAGGATGGTCACCTCCAGATATAATCCAGAATTGGAGAATGTGTATCAATACATGATTCCATGTGAAATACAAGGATACTGTTGCAAACTGCTTGCAATTCTTTGATCGTGCATGCTCAAGTTTCTTTGGTCGTGTCTGCTCAAGTTATCACGTGTGAAACTTAGCTCTGCTGCAGGGCTCCCTGCACGGCTACATGTTCATGTGTTTGTTTGTTCTTAAGCCCTGTCCCCATTGGCATTACCTCTTGTTACTTTTGTGCACAACACAACGTGTAATTTCAGATGACGTATTATCAAATTTTCTGATTCTAGTATTCTGTTTTGGCTGCGAAATTGAGAAATTCTACATTTTTTTCTTTTGACCAGCAACTAATATGCGGCTTCAAATATCCACAGTATTTACCGGCCGTAATAAAGAAAAAATCGCAGCGACCATATATATATATAGAGAGAGAGAGAGAGATTTGCGAGAGGATGTTGTTTTCAGGCTTCTTTTTCCTATTAAATACATTTGGATATGTAAATTGAACATCGAATTCTGAAACGAACGTGTAAAAACAAGAGCAACGAGTTTAAAACGTTTAGGTCTGTACCAGTCCAGAGAAAACAAAGCTAAGTCGTGTGGTCCCCCTCCCTACTTATGTTATTAGTTCTGGGCTCAGACAATTTTTTTTTAATTATCTTCATCTTCTTTCTTTTCTTTCCTTTTTTTTTATTGAAGAAACTACTAGCAATCAGGCCGGTTTGCAGGATTCTATGGAGAAACAAATCGCTTGTTGCAAAAACAGCTCAAACTACTGAACCTCAAGTTCTCAAAGCATGTCCTGTGGCCACGTCTTGCTATCGACAGCAAGTATTACAACAGGGACAACACAACGGGGGCACAACTCAAGTGACAATGATACTATCGGCACTGGTTCATCCAATCTTCAACGACACCTGTCAGTTTCCGAACCAACTGAAGCTTGAGCAACCCTGCAAGGAAGCATCAGTTTCTGAACCAACTGAAGCATGAGCAACCCTGCAAGGAAGCATCAGTTTCTGAACCAACTGAAGCATGAGCAACCCTGCAAGAAAGAAGCAGAACAGTGAATTCAACACAGTCCTATAATGTTTCTTTCAACATATTATAACGTTTTATTCAACATATTCAAATTCTAGAAAGTAGATCCCTCAGATACAAACCAAACAAATGCTGCATGTCAGTTGTAAAATACAATGATGTGTTGTAGTGGGTGATTACTAGGAAGTATGAACTAAACAGAGCAACAAAAAGCAATGGGTAGTCAATACTAGTATAGATACTGAACTTTATTGCTAACAGAAGGTAACAATGCTATCAGTATACTTAATATTGCCATTTTTCAGCTTAGAACCTGTAGTCTGTGCCATGTTTTGCTGGAGTTTGGTCAATTTTCAGCTATTGCTTTAGTAAGGATGGGGGCAATGAACGCTAAAACCAATAATGGTGCGTCAAGCAGTTCAATTAAGTGATTCCACTACTTGGTGCTATGATGGTTAGTGCTCTGAAATCAATTGGCAGCCATTTTTAGTTTTCATCAGGACATAAAAAATGCAAGGAAAATCAAAACAATAAATAAATGCTTTAACCTGAATATTAGATGAAGGAATAGTTTAAACCAGCAGCATGCCAATAAGTCTGAAGTGGACTCACTGAGGATTCGTATTTGCGGCCTTGATTGGAGCGGCTATAACCTGTGTCACTGGTTATGACAGGAGCATTGCCAGACTGTTTCTCCTCCCTCACTTTGTTAAATATGTCGGTGAAACCTTCACCTGTGGATGGATCTTTCTCGTCCCATTCTCCAAACTTAGGCACGGCTGATCCTCTCTCAGGCTGTATGGGCAAGAAATAACAGTACATCTCTTCAGAAATTATACAGATTATAAGAATTTCAAATGCGGTTTCAACTTAATTGCTTCAGTTCCCTTCACACTCAAGTATCGATATATCATAAGCGCGTTATGTATAATGTTTTACTTAAAAGACACCAAGAATATACCGTTTCATCTCCACGGCCACTTGGTCTCATCTTGGACCTTCCAGGTGTGGTGGGCGCCATTCCACGGTGTCCTTCGGATGAACCCCTGCGCTCCCATGAAGGAGATGAAACCCCTCCTTTGTTTACAACTCTAGCTTGGTGGTGAGGATGCAGAGGCGATCTCTCCATGCCAGTTTTTCTTGTTGCACTGTCATAGCTGGTATTAACACCGTGCTTATGAGTTGCTGACTCAGCATACGGTCTTCGAGCAGGGGCCTCGTGCCGACGAAGATCATCTTCTCTGTTGGCACGTCTTTCGTCCTTGGGCTTTTGCACCACAGGATCCGACCCAGTCCTCAGGGGAGAAGCTTTAGCTGATGGCGAGTCCTTGGAGAGTGCTTCCGGATCTCCACTGTGGTCATTCTGACTAGCAGATCTACCTGGAGATTTACCCTTACGAGCATTTTCGAAATACTGCGTGTAAAGGTGATCACCCTCGTCCTCCCAGCTTCCAAATTTAGGCACTCCTTGATGCTGGCACAATAGAATAAATAACATCAGACAGTGGCTGGCAAATTGATCTAACACTGAGTACAATATTAGGTGAAGTACACACTGCCATAGTTCCATACTAAGAGAATCTATTGATCCATCAAGGCTGCAGGGAGCCAGGGACAATACTAAATATAGCTTCAGACGAGTGGAGAACAAACCATTGCTAGTTTTCCAACGCGTCATGGACTCATGGTTAACACAATCAAATGGAAACATACTAACATGGAGCCGTCATTGATTGAGGTTGGGAAAATCCCAAACACATAGGTAAACAGAGTGATAGGCAGACTCTGTGCCACCCCACATTACACAGACATGGCACCCCTTTAACTACTATCAACTATCTACCACATCATTATGGAGGGCACAAGATCAATATTAAACCGGAGACAATTTTGATCCTCACAAACTCATAGTAACTTGGTATCTGCATATATACTCATTCTAAACGGATCTTGATGACCGAGGAAAAAGACAAAACAACTAGTAATCTGATTGCAGATTGGTACATTTTTGGGGACAGGGAAAGAAAAGAAGGCAACAGGAAATTGCTCCAGCAGAGATGCAATCTGTCTCCCCACCACGAAGCAAAGACAGGGCAACCTAGGCACGACTAGCACCGCCGCACCGGGTTTCGCAAGGCCAGAGAGGGAAACGACGAAGCTGCGCTGCCAGTCGAAGATAATTCCAAGAAACCCCACATGCTGAAGTCAGGCAGGAATGGATCAGCGCCCGAGATGAGCCTGCTGCCGTTTCCTCCCAGAACCAACCAAGCAAGGAGCAAGCCAAGGTGACCCGACCCACCTCGGAAACCGCCACTCGAATTGGGGGGAGAGCAAGAACTTACGGCCATTTCGTCGGAGAAGGTCCCAGGAACAGCTGCGAAAGGCGGCTCCTTTACGGCTCAGGGTGACGCCTCCCCCTTCCCCGCCGCCTGGATTTGGAGCAAGAACCGCCGCGTTCAACAACAGGAGAAAGATAGAGAGAGGGAAAAAAACAAAGATGCGGCCAATAAGAGAGGAGGAGGAAGACGAGACGAGACTGCGGAGAAGAGAGAGAAAGAGGAAGAGAGAGGACGAGGAAGGAGGAGTGAAGCAAAACGCAGGGGAGGAAGAAAGAGAAGGCAGGGGTCGTGTTTGACCATTACGGCGTCGGGTTCTCGCTGCTGCTGCCACTGCTTCGTCGTCGTTCGCTGCCCGCCTCCCCTCCTTCGCTGCTGTTGCTGTTGCTCCTGATTCCTGAATGCGGTGGGTGGTGGCCTGATCTGGCGCGGTGGTTGCATTACTCCCGTCCCGCACGGCTCACTGCTCACTCCTCCGTCCCGCACGGCTCGCACCTGTCTGTCGCCTTTACTCCCTCCGATGCCATCGTGCTGACGGCGTTCTCAGCTCCAGGGTTAACGCCACGGTTAGACGACGACGGCTTGGTTTGCAAACTGTGCTCAGGCTCTGCTGCTGAAAGCCAGAGTTTTTGTATGTTGACCGTTGACCTGTTTACCAGCAGTCATCTTTTTTTTTTTTGAAAAAAAGGCAGCAGTCATCTTCAAGCTACAGTCGCATAGTTGAAATATTTGATCTGTACACGTGGCATGGGTTAGATACCATTGCTGGTCTGCTGGTCTACTAGTCATGTAGCTCTAGAATTTAATGTAGTGCAGCCACAGCCCGTAGGGGTCTGTGTCTCATAGTCTGGCATACATGATGCATCCATGATCCTGCCCCTGCCTCAGAGTAGTGTAAGACGTGTTCGTTTGGGCTTATTTGGTTTATAAGTCGTATTTTTTCAGCGAATAAATAATATTTTTCTCTCACACCAAATCAGCCTACAGCATTTTCAATCATGGCTTATCAGTCAAATAAGCTCAAACGAACAGGACGAACGCACCCTCATCCATGATGAGGTGCCTCAAAGCCAGGGCCTGCCTAGAAAAATCCGTTCTGCTATTAGCAGCAGTGGGTGCCGGGCCGACCGGCCCAGCATCAAATTCAGTTTATTATTCAGATGGGATGATGGCCCCGTTCGTTTCGCTGTAAAAATAAACCGAAACACTGTTCCGACTGATTTATTGTGAGAGAAAAACACTCTATCTACTAAAAAAACAGCCTGAAAAATACGGATTATAAGACACTTGCTCGTTTTTGGTATGGCGTGTAAATATCGAGTAAATTTCTACATATATTCATAACGATTTTTCTCTATACACATGTAACCAACGTATGCTTTCTTCTACTAACCAAAGAATTAAAAAAAGTCCCAACGACATGACCGCTTGGTTGTCACAACTTTACAATTTGATCCAACAGTAGCCAATGTTCCAGTTGACGATGAGATCCGTGGTGACTTCGTCAATTTTAAAATTTATCGACTTAGCTCTTTGGACATGATCATATGAGTATCGAGTAAGCCGTGTACACATATATTCATAACGACGAGTGTATATACATGTATATGAACGTATGCTTCTCTACTACTATGATTTATTAAAAAAAAAGTCCCAACGACATGACCGCACGAGGGTACAAGAATGGACCATTGCTCGTAATAACATGAGACTACAGGGTGTTGACTATAAACTACCACTAGTAATAGCGACGAATTGATCAATTCCGCTGTCATGCACTGCAAATTCCCATACGGCCACGTTTACAGAATCAATACACCCACTCTCATATACTAGAATAACATAAATACAGTAAAATGGTCACTGCTGTACCGGAATCCAAACTGAAGATTTTCAGTCAAACAAATCCCTATCTTTTAGCCCACAAAATCCCCCTTTTTTTTCCTGCCGACGGGAACACTAAATAGTAGTAGTGAAAAGGCCAAAATAGATAATTAAATTCCATCCATTCTCCATTTAAGAAAGAAAATAAATTGCATCCAATTTTTACATGACATGACAAAGTAGTAAAAAGGCTAAAATCCCTTGAAAGCAAATGCCTGTTCAACTTGGGATTAATAAATATCATTGAAAATCTCAATGGGACAATTTATCGCAAGAGAAAAATATTGTTTGTTAAAAGACGGAAATGCATTGCTAAAAAAATATTTTATAAGCCAAAGCCAACCGGGCGAAAGGATGTCGGGGGAGAATTTCGGCGTTGCGTGCTAAGCGCCATTGATAATCCAAAAGAAAAGAAAAGACTCGAACGCTCTCTCACTCTCACACTCCTAACTCCCACTGCCCCAATCTCTCCCTACGGGCCTTCACGGTGCACGCCTCCCCCCTCCCTCCCGTCGCCTTTCGCCGCCGTCTTTTGCTCTAACGCTTCGCCTTTCGATCCCCTTTCAGACTTTCTTTTAGCATCATCCCTAGTCCTCGCCCAGACTCCGCAGATTCTTTGATTGCTCCGAGTTCTTCGCCTGGTTTTGGGGCAAGGTGAGCTGCTCCTTTCGTTATTCCTCTGGGAAATTTTCCGCTTGCTTCCCCTTTTCCTTCTCGGTCTGGTCAGGCATTCTGACTGCTGACGGCTCACCTTTTCGCAGGCCAAGAAAAGATGGCGATTTCATTCCCTGCCCGTCTCCAATCTCACTCCCCACCAAATTTCTGATTTTTCCGCCGCCGCAAACCTCCGCTCCTGTGCCACACCGCCATTCCATTCCTAAGCTGGGCGCTGAAGAAAGGAAGGAAGCGAGGCCGGCTGTTTCGCTGAAACCCCGCCGCCTTTTTTTTTTTGGACCAAGGTCCGGTCGAAGAATCGTAGCAGATTGCGGGAGGGAGGAACGGCGGCGGCCGGTCGATATGATTCATCTGCTGTTCCTCGTGCTGTTCGCGGAGGGCGCGGTGGCGCTGCTCCTCATGGTGAAGGTTGGCCCGCTGCGGGAGCTGGCGATGCGCGGCGTGGACCAGGTGAAGACGGGCAAGGGCCCGGCCACCGTCAAGACGCTGGCGTGCACGCTCTCTGTCATCCTCATGTCCAACGTCGCCAGCATCCTCAAGATCCAGAATAGGGGGCTCAAGCTCGGCACCGTCAGCCCCATGGACCAGGTGCTCTGGAGGACGCACCTCCTCGAGGCATCCCTCATCGGTGAGCATTCCGACTCCGTCCGTCCTTGGTTATTCCTAACTCGCGGCATAATGTCAGTAGCTTAGTTCATTTGTAATTGGCAAGTAGTTTTTTTAGAAGATTAATGGACTAGTGGTATGGATGCTTTGACGCAGTAGTGATTGGCTGATTGTTGCTTAAGTGCGGAGGTGGTAGACAAGGTAGAAACCTAACACCCAATGTTTATGCAGTTGCCAATTTAGAGCTCACTCTCGAAGGGCAGAAATTGCAGGCTCTGTGATCCACATTTTGGATTGGACCCAAGGTCTTGCCTAGTCTGAAATCTAGATTACTAGAGTCTTACTTTACCATTAAGGATTGGTGCTTTTATTAAACACTGTTTAGTAGTAGCAGTAGACAGTGGGCACCTCCTTTGTTTACCTGGAGAGTCAACTCTTCAAGAATAGTAGGTTATAATAGTCTATTAGAATATTATAAGAACTCCCATTGGGTTGCATTGCAATGATTGTTGTTTCTTGCTCCCATTGTAGTAATAATTTTTTATCTTCGGTCATTGTTCTGTTTTGTTGGAATTTTAACAATAGTCATTTTAGCTGAAAATGAAAGTAAGCTATCCTTACCCTCCAAAGGAAAATATGTTATCCAGTGGCAAATTTGTTTTGCTTTAGTGCAATACATCAAGTAGCATCTTTGTACAAGTTCTTGGTATGGATGACTTCCTGCTTACTGTCAGTTCCAAGTTTTCTAGGGTGTCTGATAAAGATTTAAGACTTCAAATGTTGTCTTTGAAATAGCAGGCTAGAATAAGGACATGAGTTTGTATGTAGAATATAGGAAGGGTACTGTCTTACTCTGTAATGTTAAGGAGATACCAGATAAGGTGAGTTCTCAATGTAACGTTTTGTCCCCCAAACCAAATCTACACCCTTTGTAATTACTTAGTACTGTTTGCTTTAGTTAGTGATCTCAGTTAAGTACCTTTATGGCACGTTTGGGTTAGTAATCTCAGTTATAACTTACTCTTTAAGATTTATGATGCGCAAGCTAAAAAAAGTGTGGCGTTTGGGGGGAATTAATAGAGAAGCTTCAGTATTGGTTTTGAGAATCTGTTTCATACGTGACAATTTAGGATCTGCTAAAATAATACAAAAGAGAAATTAGGTATAGTAATTGTAGTAGTAATAATAACAGCAAAAGGGGACTGATAGCTTAGGTCATGGTTCGGACATGTGGATTGTCGATTTCCATGCACTTATATCCAAAGCTGGTTGGTGACTTAATATTATTTTGATATATTTGTATTTGTATGTATTGCGAATGCTAAGGCATGGAATAAATTTCTACCTGTTTATGGGGATACTGTGCTTATTTAGCTACCGATCCGGAGTAAGGAGGTTAATTTTGTAACGAACTGTTTTTTCCTCTCTTAAATACAAAGATATGCAACTCTCCTGTGTGTTTGAGAAAAAAAATTAGAGTTGATATTGGTCTATGTAGTTGTGAAGTTGTAGATCCACAGGGTACAAGTGTACAATTGTAAAGGTAGATTGTCTGCATGTTCAGATATTAATTCACAAATTGCACTTATGACCAATGCTCCAGCACACAAGCGGGTCCATGGCAATAAAGTGACTGACAGCATGGTTTAAGCATAGTACTCTCTGACTTTTTTGAAGCTGTTGGTTCAATATAGGCTATGTTGGCTTGAGCTACTTGCTGTTTGTACAATAATAGCATAATAACCTGTGAGAGTGAGCTGCAACTGCTGCTGCAGAGAATGGCTCCCGAACAGACCCATAGTCTTCTCTTTCTTTACTTTTCTTTTTTTAACTTTTCGTTTATCATAGAGAGATCATACCTAAAATGGCAAAAGTAGGCCTTAGAGGATATTGGAAGTTACCATTGAACCTATACTTTGATGGGGATATCGAACATATACATTTTTAGCCCTACACAATGTTGTTTCCCTTTCTGAAAAGTAACGTATAATCTCTTTAATAATTAAATGTGGCATTTTGTTTCTCATACATTTTCTTTCTCCTTGTAGGATACACGCTATTCCTTTCAATCTAGCCTTCTCTTTCTTTTTTCCTTTTTAACTTTTCGTTTATCAGAGAGAGATTCCTACAAAAAATGGTAAAAGTAGGTTTCAGAGGATATTTGAAGTTCCCATTGGACCTGTACTTTGATGTGGATGTCAACACATGCATTTTTAGCCCAGCACAATGCTGTTTTCCCTTTCAGAAAAGTAACGTATAATCTCTTAAATAATTAAATCTGGCATTGTGTTCTCATACATTTCCTTTCTCCTTGTAGGATACACGCTATTCCTTGCATTTGTAATCGACCGGTTGCACCACTACCTCCGAAAGCTGATGATACTGAGGAAAACATCCAGCACATCCAGAGAGGAAGTTGAGAAACTTCAGATGGAGAACCGGTCCCTCCGCGAAAAGGAGGAGAAATCCTCCAGCGAAACAAAGAAGCTTCAGCGAGAGATTGCGAAGCTGAATGAGAGCATGAAGAAGCTGAAATCTGAGACCGAAGAGCACGAGAGGAAGGCATCGGTAGCAGAGACCCATGTCAACGCGCTGCAGAAGCAGTCGGAGGAGCTGCTCCTGGAGTACGACCGGTTGCTGGAAGACAACCAGATTCTGCAGACTCAGCTACTTAGCAGAGGCTAAGCTAGGAGCTTGGTACATGCAGCTTCAGTTGTTTGTTAGCAAGACTCTTACCAGATGGCGCCAGATAGCCAAGGACTTGCCCGGTTCTGAATGATTACATGCCGCGGTTCTAAATTTCGGCCTGTCCATGTGATTCTTGGTGTCCATGTTGTTCCTAAATTATGATTTGTTGATGTATGGATGCAGTGTGTATTTTAGAGTTTCTGATTCTTCCTTTTTGGATGAATGGAGGTACATGATGTAAGAGCTAGGAACGATGGGACGTACTTGAGGAATTTCGTTGGTAGTGAAGGCACCCAGAACGTGCTTGAAAAAATTGGAGTGGCATGTTAGGCAGGTCGTGATTTGAGAACGAAGAGGAGCTGTGTCCTGGGATTGAAGCGTGCATGAACCAAACTGGCCTGAAATAACGATTGAACTTTTGAATTTAGGTTAAGTCAATCGTCGTACTTCCGATTTTTTGAATTGGATGGACGGCCACTGCTCTGGCCTCCACAGAATTTTGCCCATACGCAACACCCCTATTCTCCTTTTTGTAGTGCACAAAGGGGTCGAAACTGTTGAAGGAAAAAAAAAGCTTCACCAGCTTCTAGTTTATTTTGAGAGGAAAAAAAGGAGATCAAAATGGATATAGTGCCCAAAGGAGCCGGAACCATCCAGAGCACCACCGAATAGGGAAGTCACTGTTATGGCTTCGTGCCAAGGGGAACAATGCAGTCAACATCAGCTCTCCTTTCAAGTGAAAGGAAAACACACAAGATTTGCTCACGTGAACAATTACAGTTCGCCATATGCGTCCTGATACTGCAATTGTCAGCTGCTGATCAGGTGGTCCAAAGCCAAGAATGCATCTTTCGCAAGGCATTTACAGGAGCTCCTGCTCAACCAAAAAATCTGAGTAAAAAAAAAACTTAAGCTGCTGCAGAACAGTAACTTAGTTACAGGCCGTGACAATCAACACTGACTACTGCTACGGCCGAGTCATATGAACTGCTTCAAGAACTCAGTCGCCACTAGCCGGCCACGAGTGTTTACTGACAGCTTCAACTCACTGATCTCCTTGTCGATATCCTGGAGTTCATGTAAGCAGAATGATGTGAGTGCGGATATGTGTGCCAACATACAGTGTTTGCATATATCAACCTAAGGTAAAAGCGACAAACTCAAGGCCATGCTTATGCTTATGCATGTCAACTTACCTCCATAAATTGCACGATGAAATCTATGAGCTTGTGTTTATGCATGTCCTCACAATGGTAGTTTGTTATTAGGAAACTGATATCATAGCCCTGAAACATAAGGCATAATTAGCCACCAGTTTAGTCGTAAACAATTTGGATTTCTGAAGGGATGAGCAGTTATGTTGATAAAACTGATCTCTACTTGGGAATACAAGAAGATAGGATGAGAGAGAAAACTAGTACAACAAAGGTCAGAAAAAATATGGTCTATCATCCAGTTGTCCACAATGAATGTATCCCTGTGCCTTACAGATAGTTCATGTTTACTGGGACCTACTGGAGACATAAAACACTACTCAAGGTAATCAGTGTAAGTTGGAAACTGTAATACCTGAACTGGCTTTCTCCTCAACACTTGGAATGCCTCTGCCCTCATTGACAAAAACCTAAGGAACTTCTTGGCAAGAATGTTCTCCAATTCATCTGCCTGCTTAACCTGTCAGATCACAGTAGCGTCCAAATAATATGTCAAATGTATAGCAGCACTGATACCCCAATAACCATTGAAACATCCAACAAAGTTCTCCACAGTACCTTCATGCTTATACGTATAGAGTTGATTGAAGTCTCTATCAAGCATTTTTCTGCTTCATTGCGGCATATCAGTACCTGTAGATAAATGTAGGAGTGTGAGTCACAATTCTCAAAATATTAACAAAACTTATAAATCTCTTCCAAATAAGCATAAGAGATCATGCAAGTTACATCTACAAGCAAACAGATAATTAATTGGTTTGGCAACAACAACCAACATATCTTAAGTGGTATCTTGGTAAAAAAATTGTTCCAACCAACATCGATGACCCTTTTTTTCCACAAAAACATAAATCGCTGAAAATTCCATGGCAGGTCAAAAGAAGATCCAGCATTGAGTAAAGGGCGTACCCAGTGCAGAGAGCTCCCGCTCTGTGCGGGGTCTGGAGAAGGGTGTCAGTGGCAAGCCTTACCCTCGCCTGTGCAATGCGAGGAGACCGTGACTCGAACCCGGGACCTTCCGGTCACAGGCGGTAAGACTCTACCGCTTGCACCAGGCCCGCCCTTCAAGATCCAGCATTGAGTAATCAATCTTAAATTTACTTAGGCATGTTAACTATGAAACAGAGCTGCTCGGGATTCTTAGCACAGTATCATAAGAGCGCACTTGTTCCAACTAAGAATGGCAGCACTGCAATCATTAGTTCTCCATTTTTTGCCTAGTTGGGTTTAGTTAGCCCATACATATTAGAACACATGGTTTCCAAAAAGAAAATGAAGGTCAATAATGAAGGATTGTATACTGAATTTAAGATACTGTCAAAGAAGTCTCCCTCACCGGATTCAGCAGAAGTTCAGGGCTTGTCCTGTGAATACGAATAAAAATGAAGATGGATTAGTAAGGGCAAAAAGATATATTTGCATGAGCCTTTAGGAAATTCATAAGCAAAAAAGAATTGTGTTATTATTCATAGGAGTCGACATGGAATGGGGTATGAATTATTAAGCTTACGCACAGTTCGTGGTTACAGAGAAAAAATAAAGACAGGGATATCATCTCAAAGAAGCTGACAATAGGCATGTTTTTCTTTTAGCTTTTGCAAACATAGCATGTCAAGGTTCATGGAGGCAAAACATCAACTCAAATCAAAGTGCATCAGAGCCGAGAAATGCAACAAAGATGAAAAAGAAAGAGAAGCATTTTTCGTAATGTAACATGGCACGGGCAATAGTTTCCAGCATGGAATCCTGGTACTCAAACTGCCTACCATTGCACTAACAATAACAACTGATTGGAGTCTCTGGTCGTAATCAAATCGCACGCGCCAAAAAACAGGAGCACTGAACAATCATTATTGCCTGCTTGCAGCATGACTTACTTGAGCTCCACCTCTGGTTTGTTGTGCCTCTCGACTTCTTGGCAAGGGAAATTCTGGTACCAAAACAAAAGGACAAACCATCCAAGTTAGGCTCGTCGGCTCGTGATGAACTGGGAACAGCAGCAGGAGGAGGAGCCTCGAGCTGAAGCGAAAAAAAGGAATACCTGGAGGCACATGGCCGCCTCCAAAGTGTTCCGGATGCAGGTGAGGTACAACCGCAGCGTATTGGCCTGCAAGAAGAGACGCTCATTAGCATTTTGCGATGTCGATGTCTAGCACACGCCGAAATGAAGCGCAGAACAGCCGATCCCGACGCGTACAGCCAGGGGCGCACCCAGTAAAGGACATGGATACACCCGATGAATTTTGCAAGAAATCGAAGCTATAGCAGGCGTAATACTACAATGATGACAGTGACACGCTACACTTGCAAATTACGGAGATCAGATCCGCATATCCAAATAACCAAATAGCTTAAAGTTAGGGTTTGGGTGCTCCGTTCCGCGCAGAAGGGAGGGGAGGGGGTTGGACATACCTGGTGGGTGCTCATCGCCGGCGAAGGGCCCCAGGAAGACCTGGCGCCGGACGTATGGCGGCCGCGGCGGTGGCCCAGTCGTCGCCGAGCGAGAGAGAGAGAGAGAGAGAGCGCACGTGGGAACCAACGGGACAAGCAGCAGGGCGTGACCCGTTCTCCTGGGCCATTTTCTTGGGCCGTTCTTTTTATTTTACACAATTTTTTTTTTTCGAAATCACAATAGCCACACACTGATTGACTCGGGGTGTTTGATGCAGAGAAAGATTGTTCCTCACGTCGAATGTTCCGATGCTAGGACGACTAAATATTGTTAATTATAAAACTAATTACATAGATAAAGATTAATTTATGAGATGAATCTATTAAGCCTAATTAATTCATCGTTAGTGCATGTTTACTATAGCATCACATTGTCAAATCATGGACTAATTAGGTTTAATAGATTCGTCTCGTAAATTAGTCTTCATCTGCATAATTTAGTTTTGTAATCAATCGCCCTATTCGCTTGAACTTATTAGCGCTAATTTTTAGCTCATAGAATAATGTTTTTCTCTCACAACAAATCAACATCAGTATCTATCATAGATGATCTATGTTTAATACTTTGTCCAGGTTGATAAAGTAAGTCGTTTTGGACAAGGCTTGAGTTAAACATTGGGAATATAAATCATGAATAACTTTTAAGGTGTTGAATTTGAAAATATGAAAACCATATGAATAGATTTGTCTTAAAAAACTTTCATAAAAATATACATATATCATTTTTCAATAAATATTTTTACAGAAATAAGAGTCAAAGTTATGCTTTGGAGGCCATGTCGTTGTCCCAAACAATTTCTTTTACTAACCTATAGAGAGTACTATAAATTAGTGCCTAAACATTTTATATTATAGGGACTAAAAATTAGTTGCAGAAACCAAACACCCCTAGATCTATCAACATCTTTGAAAGACTTAAACGTCACATCTTTAGATTAACAAAATTATTATCATACTTGTCGGGTATCGATAGTAGAGATACCCAAAGCAAGGAAATTAGCGCCCACGTTGACTTTCCCGGATGGCTCGAGACGTATTAAAAGGTCTCGCCCGACCTCAAGGCCACGGGCTCCGTCTCGCCCGACCCCAAGGCCGCGAGCTCCGTCTTGCCCGACCTCGGGCTCCATCTCGCCCGACCTCGAGGACGCGGGTTCCGTCTCGTCTGACGGGGACCCATACCGGCGCCAACCACTCTAGGTCCAAGTGTATGGATCTGGGTCAAAACTCTGATGCCAGGGAAGAGGCTGGCACGCCTCGATTGGACCCGTGGCCATGACGGACCATACCTGAGAATTCACATCAAGAACAGTGTCGGACGTTCCGGTGCTGTTCTGCCTAACCCTCGTACGAACGCTGACGGGCGTGTTAGTTAACCACGACGTCCACCGGGACGAAGTAGAGCACCATAACCGGTAGATGACGCATGCGCATGGCGCCAATGACGAATAGGACCGCGATATGGAGCCGTCCCTGTTGACATCTACAGGATCAGCGGGACCCGCATGAAGGAAAAGAAGGACCCGGTTGTAACACCCTAGTGTTAAGCATGCATTTGGCATTGGCATTGCACGAGCACAAGCATCATTGAGCATTCATGAGCATGAGTATGCCAAATTCTATCTTCAATATCTTGCTTATATCACATATGATGCCTTTTGAATTTATACCTAGGGTAGGGTTTACATGTGATCAATGTGTGAAATGCTTGTGGGACCCTAGGAGTACCTTTAACATGTTTAGAATGTCACATGGAACAACTTTGGTATTCATGACTTGGATCCAATTGGCCTCTAAGTCATGGTTATAGTGTAAGCTATCATTTTCAAGTTGCATGATTTTGACCTAAGTTGAACTATACTCTAGAGACTTTGAATGGCTATGCACCCTTAAGCAAAGTTGTAGTACTTGACTAGGGTAACAACTTTATTTTTGCGTCAAGACCTAATTCGGTGCATAGCATGCTAAAAAACAACTCACAAGTAGCAATAGAATTACTATTTTTGACTTTAAATTTTTTTTCTAAGTCTGGGTTCGAATTACAGTTTTATGTGCTGTACTTTGGGATGATATAACTTGCGAACCATTAGGATTTAGGCCACAGTCCTTTAAGAAAAATTATAGATCTTATGTAGCTCTACAACTTTTGTTAATTCTCCTCTCAACAAATCGTCACGGATTTGGAGTTAGAAGATTGCTAAGTTGCTTCATCAGGCGCTGTCATCGGCTCTAATGGCCGCATCCACGCGCGCGTTAGTGGCCGACAGGTCACTGGCCGTGGCCGCCGCGTGGTGGCCGTACACCGGTGATGGCCCATCCGGTCATGCCGGAGCGTGCACAAAGGCGCCACGCCCCTACAGCTCGTTCCACCCACCCACTCGCACTTCCTCCCTCTCGCTCTACCTTGCCAAAGCGAAACTCCGAGCTCACTGCATCACCGCCGCAGCTCCACCGCAGTCGGTCGCCACTGACATAGCTCCTCTGGTCGATTCGTCTTGGCCACAACTGCTCCACCATCACCTCCACCTCCTCGAGCCACCTGCACCACCTCTCGACCCTAGGTAAAGCGGCATTCTGCTTCGCCGTAGCCGCCATCGCCACCGGAGCGTCGCCGTGGTCTCTTCTTACTGTGGCCCGACCGCTCCACCGCATCCCATGCCTTTCTCTTCTCTGGCTCGGCACCACGATAGTTTGTAGATGCTCATGCCAGAGTTAGGTTAGACGCTACCGTCTGGTTGCGCAGGAATGCGTCGCCACTTTGCGCGCGACCGCCATGGCCATCGTGGCATTCGAGCTCGCCGTTGCCGAGTTGGTCCATCATATCCCTCCTCTCTCGCACATCTTAGGTTAAGTAAGCCTAGACCTAGCGTATGGCATGACAGAGACCTACCTTTCGCTGCCGTCTAGCTAGAACGGTGGGAGCACCACCGTGCTCCGTGCACCACCGTCGCGGCATGCATGCGGTCAGAGCTCACCGCCGCCTCACCAGAACCCCAACCACCGTAGATAGCTTCGTTTTGTTTCTGCAAAGTCGTAGCACACCTCATCGGAGCATGTGATGGCTAGAGAATGTCGGCGTACCGCTGCGCTACCTCTGTCGTCCGCCATTATCGCCGACGAGCTGTCTCCAGTGAACCCTAGGTCACGTCTTCACCATCAACCGACGCGGCTTGATGTGGGAAAACTGTTGGTGTCACCGTAGTCGCCGGTGATCTCACCGCCAGTGAGATAAAGGCTGGCCGGAGCACCTCCCCTGCTCTGGTATCACTAACGCATGGGTCCTACTGACCAGCGGCCCCATCTGTCAGTCTATGTATTACTTGATTTCCTTATTTGTTTTCACAGATTTGAATGCATGTTTCAAAAATTCATATCTAGAGCTGGGAGTGTCCAAATGGAATGAACCAAATTTTATTGAATTCATCATAGAGTGTAGTATTTGATAAAAATATAAAACCTACTGTTTGGGGTGTTTTTATAGGAGAATTAAATGGAGCTAAATAAGTGCTTTTAAATTGTTTCCAATCTTGTAAAATGCATAACTTGAGCTAGGAAAGTGATAAAATTGTGATTTCAATTTTGCTGATCTTGTGTTGACTTTCTCTAGTTAGAAAAAATGTTGAACTTGTAGTAAACTTGATTAGAGTAGGGTCTTTTTATTTATCTTTTACTAAATGGTGTTTTTGAGGAAATTCATAAGGATAAAAATAAGTAAAATATTGCCATACAAATTTGTATACATTGTTAATGGATTTTAGGGAAGCTAAGAAAAATATTAAATCTATTGTTTGACACTTTTCAATAGGGTTAACTATTTTTGCTAAAATAAGCCTATGCAACTTGTCATTTTTGTAGAGATGGCTATATTTATTCAAATGGCATGAAATTTGTACATTAGACTTTTGGGGTCATATGTAGGCTACTGTAATTTTTTAAGAATTTATTGTACAATTTTGATATATTTTCCTTATTTCCCCTTAGTGTCCAAATAAATTAATAAAGGTATTTAAATAAATTATTTGGGCTTGACCATCATATTTTCTAGAGTGTGTATGATGTCTATGAACTGTTGGTACCATTGGTTGTGCCCAATTTTGATTGTTTGTATGCAGTGAAATATTAATTACTCTAAAATTCAATTATAGAAGTTGTTTTTGACAGATTCTGTTGCTAGTTGTTTTGCATAGGCAAAAGAGAGTTTGCTGTAAAAATGGTTAGCAACAAAGTTGTAGGGAATTTCTTTATCTAGCTCGTGTCAAAATTTCAGGGAAATAGGCCAAAGGCTTTGAGAGTTATAGCTGTTAGAAGTCGGTCTTCCAAAATGCTTACTCTCTGGAATTTTTGGACAGACTTAGGAAGTTTACCTGTTTTAACTAGGATAGTTGTTCAATCAGCTTTTGGTGATTAAATGAAAGTTATAGGAAATTTTATAAGATTTGTAGAAAGTCCAATATCATAGGATTTGGATGAGTAGAACTTCAGTTATGATTAAAACTTGTAGCTACTGTGTTGTGGTCCAAAAATTGACTTAGTGTGGATTCTTGAAATTTCTAAAGAAGAGATATGCACCTACTTAGTAAATAAGAATTTAACTTTGTTATCAAC